ACAGACATGCACACACACAAAGACACACACACACACATGCACACACACACAGACACACACAGACACACACACTCTCACTAACTTTCCCGCCGGGCTCAACTCCTACCCTTGTACTCCATTGATTCCACACCTTTCCCTCAGAGTGCACATTTAGTAAGACCATAGCATCTTTGAATTATTTTCCTGATATATACCTAGTAAAATGCTGAACCTTGGTCCCTCAGTTTTTATTAACCCTTAATAAACCTGTTGAATCATAAACTAAACCGTGGTCTCAGTAACAATATGTGAGTGTGGTGAGGAGGGGTGTTATTCACAAACCCCTCCACAATGTGAGGGACTTCTCAGAAGCCTCCTGACAGGCTGGTAGCCCCTGGCATCGGGTCACACAACACCACATTTCAAATGTAAGCAAATACCTTGCTTTTACTGAATACTGATCATTTTTAGGTAGCAGTAACCAACTACCTTGATGCCCAAGACACAAAGATACTTGAAAGCATCAGTCTCTAATGTCTGGTCATATTAACTGCTATGTATGGAAAATGCAGATTCCATAGGCTGTGCCATAACGTTGCCACACGGCTCTGTTGGGAAGCCAGTCCATCAGGACTTTGGGTGAAGGGGTGATTTTGGCTGCCTATCTTTTGAAACCTCGCAGGAGTCTCAGTTGTCCAGGTATGGGCTGGATCCAGACTCCACTGGAAGGTGTTTACAGCACCTGAGTTATGCCTTGAATCATGCTCTGTCACCTCCTCCTCCCTGGCATGGGGAGAGAAGTCTACACTCCTAATGTACACACATAAGAACACCAAGGAAGTAACGTGGATTCTCCCTTTGTGAGTTTTCTCAGCCCTCCCTCCCAATTTGTAGCAATTCAAAATAGTTAACGTTGGGTTTAGCATATGAAGAATAGGGCCCCGTTAGCCCTGGACATTTTTTTTAAATGATGTTTACACAAAAGGTGAAGTACCATGAAGAACACAGTAGCAAGTAATTCACTGGGAAGGGTATTGAGAAAAGACAAATGAGATGTGCACCCTCTCATCTTTTTTTTTTTTTTTTCCTTTTAATGATAGTTCTTATTGTAACATCTCAAAGAAAATTCCTACATTTCTTTATTGCAGCCTCTATAGACTTGATAGGACCAGCTACAGCAGTAACAAGCATCTTCCTGACTAATGGGTATGTTTAACCACTGCATTGCAGAACTGGGCAATGTTTCCCAATGAGCTGTTTGTAAAATTAGCTCACAATCCTCCTTCATTATTGGTAGATTGGACTATTGTCAGGAGCAACCTGAGGGGAAGTAAAAAGACTTCAGGTTTGTGCCTTTTCTTGTTAAAGCTTTATTGTATTTTTCTGCTGCATTTCACAGGCAGCAGCTGATGTTTGCAACTTAATGGGATATCAGAAACAGCATGAAGATGAGCTTCAGAACCAAACCCACAGGATAACAGATGAAACAGATGTTGCTGCAATGAAAAACTACACGCATGTAGGAAACGTTTTCCAGTATTTTATTACAGGTTTGGTTGTGAAGATCCCCTCTTCAGCAAGGAAGAGTTGCAAGTAAAATGTACATAAGTGACCAAGGAGAGAAGAACATTAATGGACCTCTCCCACCTTTTCATTATGCTTTGAGCACTTCTGTGGAAAATAAGCAGCAAGGGTGCACCAAATGCCTGTGGAAAAAATATTTTGCAGTATTTTACGACCAGTTTGTGAGAGTGTGGAGAGTGACTGGGTAGTTTGCAAAGCAGTCACATTTCTTGATGCATTTTATTCATCCTTAAGGTGTCAGACAGAAAATTTTCCAAGCTCAAAATGACAGGAGAGCCCACAAGAGGAGTGCTGGCACTGAGGTGAATAAAGACACCTGCTCTAGTTAATGCTCAGCCAAAGCTCAATCTCAGGCTGTGTGACCGGGCTCTTTCCCCAGTTTACAGAGAACAGACATAAGCATATCTCAAGTGCATTCTCTTTTTAAGTTTGCTACATGAACAATAAACAAAATTCTAATTGTTTCTGGACATACAAAGGTGCGTATGTTAGATATTTTTGTGATCTGTCTAAATTGAGTGACTACACAGCAATTATTGATACAATTGTGTGACACAGAAGTATGTGAAGAACAGAGAGATGTTTTATACGATTTTTAAAACAAAACTATTTTACCAGCTCCAGTATCTTCAGTGCATTTTTTTTCTTCAACGTGAAAGTTCATCTTTAAAGTGATTGATATGACTGATTAAGAAGAATGGGAAAAAATTTCTAACAAACAATACAAATGCATTAGCTTTCATGGACGTGTGTTGTTCTCTCAGTCTTCCAGTAATCCGGATGAAAGCCTGGCATGCTTTGGTGGCAGGAATAACTGCTGGAGAATGTTGTCTCCACAAAATTTCCCTGGGACAATGATAACACACATTTCAATGGATTATGCAGAGTCCAAAACATAGACAGATTTAAAAAGGAGTTGAAGTTTCTGCTGCTGAGGCCACAGAATAAAGAGTCTGGGCATGATCAACTCCTGGCTGTTTCTAATTTAAGAACCCACAACAGTTTCAGTCTTATTTTGCATGCTAATATTTTCCCCTTTCCTTGGTAATTGGCTTTTCTAAATACTTCTGAAATAAATATTTCCTTTAGAAAGCTGCAGCTCAGAGAAGCTTGCAAGTGTTGCTTCAGTTTATAAACTACGTCAGGCAGAAACACAATGTAAGGAATTTGATCTCTAATCCTGTGCCTCAGCCATTACAATCTGAGCTTTCATAGCATTGTGTTAGATTGCTTATTTTCAGTTTAATTTTTTGTCAGGAAAATAAGAATAGTTCTTTACTAGCAATACAATGGCAGTTACTTGCCACACATTTATAGGTATAGTAGAAAAAATAATTTGTGTTGCACATTCCTG